TTTATGCCATTAACATAACAATATTTGTTTCGCCCACAAATGTAGTCAATTCACTTTACAGTATATTGTGTGAAGTGCTTTGAGACATCTAGAAGATGTGAAAAGCGCTATGCCAAATGCAAGAACATCCAGAATTTGGCAAATTCTTAATACAACCTTAACTTTGAATCCTGTTAAGAACTGCAGAAAAACAACTTCAAAGTTAAGACTGAATTCAAAAATTTGACAATTTCTACATGTGCCAAAATGCTACATTAATAGAGTAACTTAAGACCAGGTGGAATTTTACCCCAATAGTTTTTTTTTGTATTTTTTTTAAAAAACGTTTCCACTTTCTTAAGTTTGATTGTTGAGTAGTGACTGGCCAAAAGTCATCGTTATACAGATCGAAAGTGTCATGAACACTACCATAGAGGATTTCATTCTCTGCCAAGACATTTCATTTCAAGAATCTCACAAAGTACATTTTGTTCAGAAAGAATTGTTTGAAAAAAAATTCTCTAATTGAAAGAGGGAATACTCTAGAACCTTTATGTTAAATAAATACAGTTCCCTATTTAGCATCACTGTTATTACTTCTAAAAATCATAGAATATTACAGCACAGAAGGTGGCCATTTGGCCCATCGTGCCAGTTCCAGCTCTTTGGAAGAGCTACCCAATCAGTCCCACGCCCCCACTCTTTCCCCATGCCTTTTCAAATTTTTCCTTTTCAAGTACCTATCTAATTCCCTTTTGAAAGTTGTTATTGAGAATATATATATTCTTAAACATTCCCACAAAATCTTGCATCTCAAATATAATCTGTGCATTTAATTTAAATGATAGTTGGGTTGGTATTTACAAAGATGGGGCTTCAGTTGGGCATGAGAGTAGATAGACTGCTAAACACAAATCTAATATTACAGTTTTCTCTGTTTCAGAACCATACAAATTTACAGCAAAGAATGCCATTCAGCCCATTCTGTCTGTGTTTGATCTTAGGAGTGATCCATTCAGTTCCATTTACCCTACTTTTCTCAACACCCCTGCAAATGACTCCTTTGTATAATAATAATAATCCTTGCAATTGATATAGCTCCTTATCACAGGATTTAATGTAAAGTGGAGTGACTGTGTTTTGTGAAAGAAATGCAGCAGCTAGTTACAGCATTGACCCACAAACAGCCATGGAGTGAATGAACAATTTTATTTCGGCGATTTTGTTGGCCAGATTAAGTCCATTCTCATTTTGAATAAGGATCTTCAACATCCACCCGTCACTCACTACAAGCAGTTGCATAGCAGAATAATACCGCTCTGTTACCTTTGGAATGGTGAAATTCCCCCATCGCTGCCATGATTCCCTGTGGCCTGTGACTTGTCTCAGCAGTTACCCTTCTGCTTTGAACAAGTGGTCGATATCTGATGCCAGTTAGTAGTTTGTTGCCCTTATCATTAACTAATTCTTACTTTGATTACTTCTTTCAATCTGCACTCTCTCAACCGGTTTCGCAATGTCCTTTACCAAAGTGCCATTCCTCTTCCATTTTACAAGATCTGTCTCCACAAAACATTTTATGCCCAATCAGTTTAAGTATTTGTCAAATTCTGTTTATGTTTCTGTGATGTCAGCAATGTAAATATTTTCCCAGACTATGTAGACTTTTATTCACCTACAAAATACACAGTCCTACACTCTACAATAAATCTCATGAAGCACTTTGAGACATTTTGATACATGCTATATCAAATGCAAAGATTATTATTGATATTATAATTTATTGCTAAAAATCTTTGCATTAGTACAAAAACACTGTTTCTCACTTCATGGTTGTTTGTGGGGCATTGCTATCCGTAAATTAGTTGCCTCATTCACCTAAAAAATTATAGTCACTACCATTCACAGTAAAACCTTGTGAAGCGTTTTGAAACGTCTCAATGACGTGATAAGGCTCTATATCAAATGCAAGGATTATTATTTTTTATCAACACATCACCTTGAACAGATTTTCATTCTTTTTCTTAACTTTGAACAACTGCCTCTTGAATACCATTAAGTTTTCCAGAATATTTATTTGTCTCCCCCAAATCTATTTTGAAGTAATCTCAATTAGTGTTCCAGTTTTGATCCCTACCTGGTTATATGTTGACCACCCTTCACTTAGTGACGATTACCACAGGCCTGACTTTGCCACCTGTGTCTTCTTGGAGCCAGTTCAACTGAGCTATCCAATGAGCTGCATTGACATGGTAGACAATTGAGCAATTTAGCTAAAAGGAACCACTAAGGATTGATTGATCGATCGATCTAGTTAGAAGGAACCATTTTGAGGATGTTGAACCCCAACTTGATATTGGGAAACTATGTGATGTAGTGCATCTCAACTTCCAAAAGACCTTCGAATAAACTCCTTTAGGTATGAAGAGTAAGGCAAGGATGTAGATCAGTAAAGATGGCTAAAGTGAAGGAATGGATCCCATAAATGGCCTGAATTTGCAGACTCAGTACAGGATAGTTGAAAGAGACCAAAGTGCATGAGTTGATTCATTGCTCATATGAGTATGAGAGGAACAATAAACATAACAAGCAAAGCAAAAGGGATGCCAAAGTAGTTTAGTTCAAATTCCCAGAAGTTGTTTTTTAAGATGTGCACATTTCTTGCCCATCCATCTCTTATTAATCCATGACCCAGAGACAGTGCAGAGGAGACCAATGAGGCTGATCCCCTATGGGATGAGAAATAAGATCCCCAGCCTTGAAAATGACATTTCGAAAGGGACTTGATGGAAACGTATAAAATACTGTTTAATCTAATTCAGAAAGATATACAGCATGCTAAACGGGATAGAAAAAAATACTTTCAGATATGTGTGCCCATCTTGTAGGACACAAAGACACATAACTTCAGGTTATGAATAGCAATTAAGAACAAACACCAAGACATAGTTCTCAGTGCAGAATGTAATGAACAGCTGGAAAGGGTTACCAGGACAGTAAGAGAGGCCGGATCACTGAGTTCATTTTAGTAACAGCTGATTGGTATAATCGGAAAGCAATCGGGTGGGTTCACTGGAAGGAAAAGATGAAATAGGCCACAGGGCCTTCTTCATCTAAACCCCTGTTGTGATCTTATCCTGAGGAGCTAATGTTTAAGCTCTTTTGCCCACACCTGCTTTGAGTTTTTATAAACACCAGCTGTGGTTTATCCCATTGAAATGAATAGAAACTGGAAATTGACAGTGAGAAATGGGTATTGTTGTCTGGAGCGATTGTGCCCAACCTATTAATAATTGCAGAGCATTCTGCAAAGAGGAGTAGCAGCAATAATGTATGCATGTACATGCACATATGTGAGAAATCATGTGCGATTATCTCAACACAACTTAAACAAAACTGTTAATGTTTTCTGCAATAGACTGAACAAGTCCAATTTAACATTGAGGTTGCTATCCAGTGAGATCTACCAGTTAAATTTTCTCTACAAGTGCACGTGTCCAATATTGTGATGCATAATAAACATTGAAAATCAAGATTTCCTTTGTACACATACCAAAGTAAATTAGAACACTAAACTTGGCAGCATCAAAACACGAGGAGTTTCAGAGGAGAGCGTGCTGAGCAGCATGGGCTATCATCTACCAGACTTCGGGGTCTAAGATATGATATTTGTAGGCTAAATTTGTTACATTAATTGTAAATTAGAGGAAGGACACTTTTATGTATCTAGATTTATTGTTTTTCTTAGCTTTTCTTTGCATTTCAGAGCACCCAGAATTTGGCAATTTCTTAAACAGCGTTAATTTTCAAGTTGTTTTTCAATAAGTCACTTCCATGAACTACAGAAAACTGGCCTCAGAGGCTGAATTCAACAATTTGCCAAATTCTGCACCCTCTAAAATGTGACATAAATTGAGTAAATCTAGACCCAGGTGGAATTTCTCCTCCGTAGTTTGGAGTATTAACCTACAAAATTTGCTGCTTGCAATTTCAAAGTCATCAAACTTTGAGAAAAGAGTGGTGAGCAAAAGACTGGCCATTTCTCACAGACCTTTTGGCTGACTTTGCCAGCTTGTCCAACCGTGAATTTCTCAAACCGGAAATCACATTTAACCAAACCATCAAATCTGGTTTGTAAATATTGCCTTGTAACCTCCTTTGTTTAGAATTAAATTTCAAGAGCATAGGTTTGTCAAAAAAGATGTGGATTACAGATGCACAACACTATTAATCTCATTTCCATTTATTCAGGCGAACGTCAGCTAATGTTAAGTGTTAAATTCTAATTTGTGTCAAGCCTGGTTCAGTCTTTAGCACACTCACCTCTGAGCCATAAGGTTTGGATTCATGTTCCGTATTGGGGACTTTGAGTTCATAGTCCAGTCTGCACTTTAGTTAATGCTTGGGACATGATGCATTTGCTATCCTTTGATGAGATGTTAAACCCATGACACTGTTCAAAATGAGGAGGGAGTTTACCGGTTAACAACCCTCCAGATAAAACTGATCAGTGAGTTCTTGGTTGCTTGTGGGACATTGCTGAGCAACAAATTGGCTGCTGCATTTGCCTGTGTATTGCACAATCACTGCATTTAACAGTAATTGCAGTACAATGAAGCACTTCAAGGTATTCCAGTGTGATGAGGCGCTATATTAAATGCTGTGATTAGCATTATAACTTAAAATAATCAAACTTATTTACTTCATTGCCTTAGCTCAAGTTCAAGTAAATAGCTGTGTCTAGGGAAAGATACTGGGCAGAATTCCATCCCCCTGCCTATTCATAGATTCGTAGAAATTTACAGCGCTGAAGGAGACCTTTTGGCCCATTGAATCTCAAGCTACCCATTCAATTCATAGCAAATGGGATGAAATTCCACTCAGAATTTGTAATACTATTTTATCGTGAGTTGGCTACATAAACTGAACGCACATCACTGGAGTAAAACCTAATGGATTTAATCTGTTATCCAGAAGAAAGCTGACCACATTGATTTATTTGTGTTTTTCTTTCTCCACAGTCCTGGTACCTGGGCTAGCCTGGTCCCATTCCAAGTGTCAAATGGGACGACCATCCTGCCAACGAATGTCCAGAATTACAGTTTAAACTTCATCGGTGAACCCTTCCTGCAAGCGGAAACGACAAACTGAGGACAAAGAAGATCAAAGCGTGATTCCAAATCGAAAGGAAAAGTCTTCAGAAACAAGACAAGTGATTGCGGGCGCTCACAATCACTAATTTCTTGCAAGCTTAAAATCTGCGTAAATGGTATTTCATCAGTGACACTGAAGGGTGATTTTAGTACCTGGATGGTGAGGTGACAGATCATGTCCCAGCAACCGGCCTTTATTGAACAATGGGATCCACTAGGGGGACAGTTGTTTAATTTCCAGATCTGACAAACTTAATACACTTATTAGCTTTTAGATGTTTAAGAGTTTGCATGTTTAGACAGTTAGTGGGGTTCAGGTAACTTTTTTTTTAAAAAAAATTGTTTTCACTCAGTTCAAGAGTAGTAAAACTACATACAGCCCTGTCCTCCTGGTTTGACAAGGTTTGAATTGCAAGATAAAGGCTGGGTGAGGAATGTATATGTAATTTTGTGTTTTCTACAAAACTGTTGTCTGAGGGGATGAAAGGCCCGCGAAGCACACATTTAGTCTATGCACACTATGCTACTGCAGAGAGAAAAAAAACATAAGATACAGTTCTGCTGGATTTAGATTTGACAATTGACTCCACCAACTGTTTCTTGTTACTGAACCCTTTTCCCTTTTAATGCTTAGTGCGCAAATCCGAAGAGAACAAATTTGACACAAGAGCATTTTGAAAAGCACCAGGGTTATAGATTCAAGGGGGTAAAACTCCCCTTGAATTTCCGGATTCGAATGCCGTCATCTGAATACGAGAATGAAGCTCGGTTGATATTTTTATGTTGCCCTTAAAAAGAAATGTCAGTAAATTTTTTTTTAAATGAAATAAATCACTTAAGAGGCAAGTGCAATTTAAAATTTCTGAGTGAGGGGATTTATGTAAGTCCTTTTGCCCTAGGACTCTAAATTGAGGGGACATAATATAATCTTTAACTAATTCTGAACATTTTACCCCTCCCCTCTGATGTGCATTTATTAAGGGAAAAAAATGCACATGGACACATCCTGCTGTGACATGCTTACTTAAGAAGGCAATTGAACAGAATTGGAAAATGCTGCACTTGGTTCCTTATACTCCATTACCTCAATGGAGTTTAATAAAATATATATGTGTGCATCAGGTGTGTCAAAAATATGAAATATTAAAAAAAATGCATGACGCAAACCGTTTTTCCAAGGACGTAGACAAAACCATATCACGTGGAGGCTGCTGGTGGGCAGCATCGCAGTTTAAAAATCAATGGCAACAGGGATGGAGGCGCTAGACCTTTTCGCACTCTCGTGTGTCAATGCTTTTCCTACTCACAGGGTGCCGAGTAATGCATGGTGCTTCTCCTTCACAATTCGCCTTGCTATCCGCCTGACAGTGCTAGTGGCAGGACTCCAGTGTGCATGGCAAGTCAGTTTTGCCTCTTCTGTTTCTCTGTAACTCTAATAGACCTTTTCTTGATTTGCACGAAGTTATATAGTCCACATTACGTGCCTTGCCTTTAAAATAAGAAAAACAGTGACATCACTGCACACGTTTGCTGCGTATATTATAGCTCATCCTATGAAATTTACCATTTGTATGAAAGAAAAATTATTTTGTACTCCAGAGGACAGTGTGACATCACTAATTGTCAATATTCAAATACTTTTGACTTTGTTAGCTCATTTATAAAAGCGTATCATGGCTGTGTATAGTTGGTGCTTAAAAATTTTTTAATCAGCCAGTAATATTTTTCAGTATTTTTGGCAAGTTTTTCTATTAATCTTCATGTTTTTTTTTCATCTTTCAATTACTTGTTTGGGGGGTTTTGAATTTGTAAGAATTATGCAATACCACGTTTTTGTCTACATAGGTAAAGCTTTTAGCTACATTGATTATCACAAGTTAGTATGCAGAATAGCTGACGTAAGCTTTTTTTCTTTTCCATTTTTAATTGACCAAAGTTGGTGCTGCTTTCTATGCAGTATGATAGGTCCTTTTTTTTCCTGTATAGAAAGATTAGGGGAGAATGTTTTGGGGAGGGGGGATTTTTTAAAAAAAGAACACTACAGCACCGCTGTGAAGCATAACGCCATTTGCCAGACACAGGCTGCAAAGTAACTGCTCTGTCTACTGTGACAAACTTTAAACTAGGTCTTTCTATTGACTTTCCACCTGGGGTGCAAGATTAACTCATTTTATTAAAAATATATATGTATGAGTTATATACGTATATAAAATACATTGTCATTTTCACTGGAGGCAGGCTTGACTTGAGCTTCAATGTTTATTGAGGAGTTGGGATTTTTCCCTTGTGAACAATTTGGCATTTTTTTAACATCCTTTTGTTGACCTTATAAAACCGAAGCAGAACAAGGAGTCTAAAATCCTGCTTTCACGTTCTATCAGTGAAAGCTCACCAGGAATGCTTCCCTCTTCAGCCCTACTGGGGTACCTCATGGTATCTGGCCAGAAAGTGGTCGGCAATGATGTTTGGACAAAACTATCTCACTAGCGTTTCTCTCTCGGGATCTGGTTAATTAAAAAAAATAATCTTTCCATCTTTCAGAACACTTATTAATTTTTTATCATCTTGATCAGCGACTGATCTCTCCCTCTTACTAGCTACCGGCTCAGTCACAAAACCCTTAGTCATCAAGCACAGCAGAGATCTCCACACAACAGTCTGGGTTTAAGTCAGCTCTTAAAAATACTCATTCTGAGCGGCTTTCAAATGACTCAATGTAACAATGTTTTTTTTTTAAGTTTTGCCAATTTGTTCCCCAAAATGCCCACTCAAAGCTGGGGCAGCGGGTCTATGGGTGCCAACTACGTGCTGTTACAACAACAGCAGCAACAACAAATTGGATTTACATAGTGCCCTTCATGTCGGGAGGATGTCTCAAGGCACCCAAGTGACCATTGTTCACGTATAAGTTTAGCCATGGAGGGCAATGCAGCTGAGCCTGATCCCGATCTCACTCACTGTGCACAGATGCACACATTCCTGCAGAGAGATCACTGGATAGTCACCTCTCGGCTCGTTCAGTCTCCTTCCCCTTTTCCCCTCCACATGCCCCACTCACAAGGGCTCAAAGACACTGAAGCCAAATGTAGTGTCAGGGGCTGAGATCTGCTTGTCCTAATGCTGCTTCCATAAGATTTCCAATTCTAAATCCAAAGGCTGAGAATTGGAATCTCAATGTAAACTTTTGTTTTTTTTTAAAAAATGCATGCTTTTAAATAGAAAATTTTAATATTGTTCATTTCTTTTACAAACGATCCAAACATATAACCAATATTTACCTTCATGGCACACTACAAAATATTTGACCACTGTCCAGTGATAATCAGATTTTATTTATACCTTGGAGAATCAGCTGAAACTCCTTTCATCCTATATCTGAGTCATTTGGGGTAGGATTTTTTTGGTGGGATGATAAAGGAAGATATGTCTGTGTCCTTCTGTTGTGATGATATTGAGATTTCTACAGAAGTGAACGTGAAGGGATGGGAGGGGGTTTGTAACTCAAGTCAAGTCTCTGCTCTCCTCCTACACCAGGATGCCAATTCTGACCAAACGAAGCCACCCCGTTCTATGTGCACTGTTTCTGCCTTTTGCTTAAGTGCTTTGCAGTCTTGGCCAATGGCATTGCCACTGAAGTGCATTTCCCCGTGTGACGTGCAGGTTGAAGACGCAATAGATCGGGAAAAAAAATAACTGAGAAGGAGACTTACATTTTGAAAAAAAAACTGGCAAAAACTAATAACTATAGCAATAGCTGTGGGAGTATGATGCAGGCACGGCAGCTCAGTCAATAAGTGGTTGTGTAATGTGAGGGGAAACAAAAAGGAGGTCCTTAAAATGAACCACCTGCCTTGCAGACTGTAATTTGTACACTGTATAGTTTTGTTAAGAACATTTTAAAATAATCTACCCTTTTTTGTAACGCTAACATTTTTTAAATGAGTTAATTGGGGAGGATATGACTATACTGGCTTTTGAAAGACACCGGTATATGATGCCATTTTTAAGAAGAAAAGAACAATTCCTGTCGGAAGCTGGACTTGAGTTAAAACTCTCCAGTAACCTAATTTATATATTAAAAAAAACTGTCCATATGATGAGATTGTGTATTCCTATGCTTAAAAAGTGTAGGTTCCTAATTTTTAATCCAGTTTTAAATGGAGAAAAGTTATATTTTATGAAGGTTATTTTGTTGTATTTAGTATTGAAAAGGTTGGTTTTCAGAAACATTTCATATTGTCGGAAGGAATACTGTCTTTTTTTTTATTAGTGTGTATGGCCTCCAGTAAAAGTCTGTGTGAGTTTTAAATGTTGGTATTTATGATTAGAGAGAGAGAGAGTGTATAAGGGTTTGGCAATGAACCCAGCCTCTGACAGACCATCCCTATTAATGAACCCAGGTAGGATCCTGACTCAGTCTTGTATGGTTTTGAAATACAGTACAGTGCTAAGGGGAATCTATCTGAGGTCACTGGGCTAGGGCATTGGTATGGGTTTTCATTGCACAACACTGAATTGCACTTGCACCATACAAGGTTTCAAAGGTTACAGAAAGATATCCCATATACAGTGTACAGTATTCTGTTTTTGAAAGGACAATGCGATGTTGCTGGCAATTAGGTCCCAAGACAGATACCAGACATGGTTTACATATTCCTGTTAAAGTCTGCTGTTGATAGTAACCAGCTGCATGTTTCCTGAACCCTTTTCTGTTTTGTTTTCTTCACGGAGAACTTGGACCCACATTTCTTTCCAAATGCAGAACGTGGAAAAATCCAGTCGGAGTAAACTGAAATAACACTGATCGTGAAATCCACGTCCTGTTTTGCCCCACCTCCTCCAGGTACATATTGGATTGCAGACTTTTTTTTCTGTTTATTTTCAAGGGCATGCAATTGGCCAAAGTAGGCTTGACTGGAATATGCACAAGATAGGCAACATCATTGGTTTCAATAAAAATCAAGTGAAAACCTAAAAACCTGATGTTGCTTTGTTTTTACCCTGCGTATTGGCATTCAAATCCGACCCCTCCCAGGGAAGGTGTCAATGCCATTGCAGCAACTTCTTGGACTGTTTCCATCCCACAGTGCTTTTTGCCACATTGTTAGTAGTTAAAGGGGACACGTTTGGAAATGGTCAATTTTCACATTTTCGTTGCAGTTTTTCCTTACAGGATGTATGTAATACAAAAAAAAACTTTCTCTAGGTATGAGTCTCTGGAAATATCTGTGTTTTAAGAGTTTACTGTATGCTAAAGTTGTAAAAATGGTCTCAATGTCAATGGTAGTTGGTATTGCCTCCTCAGAACTTAGTTAAGAGCCCTCACAAAAAGCAGCCTGCTAAATCAAGCAATCCTGAATTGAAGGTAAATCACAAACAAGATACAAAATCAATTAAGTTCATTTCAAATAATTTTTAATTCCTTTTTGATCTGACAAAAAAAACAGTTTTTATTAAAATTCAAACTCATTAATGTAACACAGCAATGATTAACCCACTGTAAAATTGCATTGAGATATAGACACAACATTTGCTGTGGATGCACATTATGAATAATGTGTTATCTGCTTGTAAAGGACATGCAGACAGTCTCTAAATGTTTTCTGAGTTGTCACAGTCTCCAAATAGCTTAAAACCAGCAGTAAATTGGTATTTTTGGCTATTAAAAATAACCGAGTGAAAGAATTTTCAAATTTCAATTGCCAGACATGGCACAACAAGAGGCCTTCTTAAATCAAGTTATGTTGGGCTTTCAGTTTAGGCTTTATTTTCGCAAGTTTGCTTGAGTCAGTCAGACTACATGTGTCAGGAGTTGTCCTTGCTATATTCAACGCTGCAATTAGTTATGCTTGATTGCTGCATCCCAGTGTTAGAAGATCATTTAATTTCCTCTAAAAGATTCCACTGCAGAGCAAGTCGTGCCATTCCTTTAGCTCTCTAATAGCTGTGCACTTAAATAGCAAGGACTAATCGGCAGAAATCACAAAACATTTCTAGCATCGGTTGCCCGATTGAAATGAAAAGTCTGGCCTTTTTTGTAGAACTGTGTTAAGTGCTGCAGTGAAGCTTAGCATTTCCTGCAGATTAAAAACGGCTGCTGGTTTCTTTTTGCTGAAAGCCGGGAAGGCAGGTCCACTGACATGGAAACCATTTCTGCTTTTCATCACGGAACTGTTGTGTTTCTAAAGAAATAGCATGATGCATTTTTATTATCAAAACTGTGCTGCAGGGACTGGTGTTCCAAGTATAATAGCAACTAAAGGAACCTTGTTCTAGCCCTGTTCACTACAGTAATGTATGTTCTATATATGGATACCATGGATGTTACATTGAGTGACGTTAATGCAAAATAAGGATTCAAAACAAAAACCAGCATACGTTTACCAAAAATGTCAAACAAGCAGTGCCTGTTTAATCTTGCAGTCTCTGTTGAGTTCAGTTGTAAATCTATTCATTCAGACAACTTGTTTTCTGCAAAAGTGATCCAACGCGCAGAATGTAAGGGTAAATCCTACCCAGCTGTCAGCTTCCAAGAGCTTGTTTACCTGCTCCGTATTCAGAGAGGCTCTTACGCATAACATATATATTCTGCATTCATGTGTGTAACGGCCTGAAATACCATTTAAGTCTTGACACTGCGCACTGTACAGATTCTTTTCATTGTGAGTGTGGCTCCCCCGGTCTATCTGCAAAAGAGCTCTTTCCAGATGGGAGTTCTGACAAGCTGGGAAAGGAGTCCCCCTGTAATTGTAAGAACGTTTGAGATATTTCTCTTGAGAACAACTTTTGTAGGACTGTGTGTTTCCATAGATACATGATGCTACGTTTAGTACAGTAGTAGGTAACAAGTAGTCAGTAAGTGCTTTCTAGCCACACACCAGGGTTCTTCCATTTTGTAACTTGTGGCCTCTTAGTCCCTTGCCTACAGCTCTAGTCCTACAGTTGCCAAAAAGCAACTTGAACAGCCTCTATACTGGCATGGTCGTACTGTGCTTCGGGTCTGAATGCAGATACCCAGACAGTGATGAGCCTACGTACCTGAGAGCAGCCCATTAACCTGCGACTGCAGGGACTATGTGTTTGCAAGTTTCAAACTGGTGTAAATTCAGCTTGACTTATGTGATTGTAACTGTTATATCCAGCCTATACTGCTAGCAGCTGCTCATACTGCAGTCAATTACTGGAAGTGGATATGTTTCCTATGCAAATAAAGAAAAAAACAGTTTAAAAATAAAAATGAGCTATGCTACAAAGATTGGTCTTCTGTCGATTTGTTTTAGTCTAGAATTCTTCAAGGTTCTAAGTGCCCAATTCACACCATCAATGCCTCACTATCTGCACTTGAACACAGTCACTGCAAATCGATACATTCATATACCATATTCATTCATAGGTAAGAATAAGAATGATCCTTGTATTTGATACAGTGCCTTATCACTTCATCAAAATGTCTCAAAGCACTTAATTTCACAGGATTTTCTGTAAAGTGTAGTAACTGTTTATTTGTAGACAAACACTGATAATACACCAGATGAGCAACAGCTGAATAAAAAAAGGACCATCCACTAATACAGTCAAACCTGTTCAAGTGATCACCTCCATTCAGCAACCACCCCCAGTTAACAACCATCCTGGGAGATTCCGGTTCGCGCACCAACAGCAAAAATTTATATTTATATAGAGCCCTCCATGCCAGGCCACGTCCTAGGACACTTAACAATGGTGGTACCCGATGCCGAGCCGGGGGAGGGGGAAGGTGAACATTGGTGCAGTCGAAGAGCAAGGTCTTCAGGCACAACCTGAAATGGGGAAAGAGGGGGCAAGGCGAAGGAATTGAGGGAGGGAGTTCCAAAGCTTCAGGCTGTAGTGTGAAGGCATGGCTGCCAATAGTGGAGCAGAGGATTTGAGGTACAAGGAGGAGGCCGGAGCTAGTAGACCAGAGACAAAGCGAGTGGGAAGCGAGGAGGTTAAAGAGATAACCTCCAAGGGATGCCAAGGAATGGAGGGATTTAAACACTCGAGTGAGGATCTTGATGTTGATCCGTTCTGTGACAGGGAGTCAGTGGAGTTTGGCAAGGACTGGGGTAATTGAGATGGCGGTGTTTGGTGCGGGTGAAAATGCAGGCGGCGAAGTTTTGGATGAGTTGAATTCTGTGAATAGTGGAGGAGGGGAGATCGGCGAGGAGGGGGTTAGAGTAGTCCAGTCAAGAGGTGACAAAGGCGTAGATAAGGGTTTTGGCAGCTTGTGGAGTGAGGTATTGTCGGATACAGATAATGTGGCGGAGGTGGAGGAAAGCGGTCCTGGCCAGGGCCCGGATGTGGGGGAAGCAGGATAACTGGGGAATGAACCTGATGCCTAAGTTGGGCAAGGATTCAGAGAGTGTTAAGGACAGTCTGGGGAGATTACCAACGAACTCTTACTCAGATGCCATCCTTACATAAAGCCCATTTTGCCCAGTCCCCTAAGAGGTTGTTAATGACAGTTTTGAATGTATTTTCTTCTGATTCAGTACCTGCAGCGCCTACACATGGAAAACATTGCCCCTTCATAGAACGCCAGCTTTCTGAAGTCACTAACATGTTGTTCTCATTCTAGTTTGGTTTTGCCACCGAACATAAGTGTGGAGACACGGTGATCTGCCTTGTACATTAACTCTGTGTCCACGATGACATATTTATTTGTAATATGCATAAATCTATTATTTTCACATTTATCATCTTGTTTTCTATATTATTGCTAACATTTCTCCCATCAGTGCAGCCGTTTAGCATGTCACATTTCCAACATCAATTTTTCCTAATGTACCTTCAGTAACAGCTCCTGCTTTCAATATGATGGACTAAAAAAAAAATTCTGTTTATATCCTAAACACTTACAAAGTTAGCTCAGAAGTGGTTGCAATAGTCAATAGAAACAAGTAAAAAAGAAACAAACATTGGCTATTATCCAGGAATCCCACCCCCTTTTCAGCACCTTAGGACGTTCAGCACCTTGGGACGTCCTCCCGACGTGAAAGACGCTCTCTAAATGTAATTTTGTTGTTGTTGTTGTTTAGGCTAGCCTCCTGTGTTGCCTTTCTCTCTGACTCTGAATCGCTCTCACTTCCTCTATCTCCATGCCTATTCTCTTTCTCTGACTCTAGCCCTATCGACCCAGACATTCTCTTTGCTCAGCAAACATGGCCTGCTTCATATCCCTTGCCATATCTGCCCCACTCTCTGGAACTCCATCCCTCTGACTCACTCCCTCACCTTCAGGATCTGTTTGAAGATATACTTCTTCGACCACTCTTTGGGTCATCTTTCCCCTCCACATCTCATTCATCTCACATTCCCAGCTCGGGTGTCCAGCCAGCAGTGTTAAGCACTTTGAGATGTCCTCCTGATGTGCAAGGAGCTATGTAAATCGTAGTGTATTGTGCAATGTACGAAAATATCAACAGTTACCTTCAAGCTTCCTGAGAGAAAAAAATCCAGTTGCTTGTGAGCAAGTGAGGTTACTAATGATATAATTTAGTTGCACAACATGAGAAAATTGCGTCCCTTGTAACCTAGGAACATCACACTTGCCACTCCTAGGTGTCCAATTGTATTAGATACCTCACCAGATGCAGTGACATTCCATTCTGACAGGCAATAAAAACCAAGTGGTGGTGGCATAGCCTCCCTAAACTCTGGTGATGAGCTGCCACTCTATAACCTTGTGTCACGCTTATTATATTGAGATACTCAACATGGATAATGCCTCTGCAAAGACTACACTATTTTTCTAAATGTGGTGGTCCCACACTCAGCACTGGAAGGATTTCATCGGCTCCTTTGANTTTTTTGCTGCATCTCATCATAAAGGTTTGTTAAACACGCTGTGTGGCTCTATATAACTAAAGTTTTAATTCTGTCCCGACTAAGCCAGAAAGTACAAGAGTAAGCAATGAGCAACATAAACATGGGCTGATATCCAGCACAACAGATAAAACTCTGCCATTAAATGTGGCAGAAAGAGTCCAATAAAATGTTAACAACAAAGGAATTCCAGATCTTGGTTCTACTTTTGTTCTTAAACTTGACCTCTGTTGGTTCCGCGGTTGTGTGAATGAAGTGATGGGTTTAAAGCTGCCGTCAGGGACATAACCAAATGTACACCACTACTTAGTTTTTGGCTGAAATGAAGAAATCTGTCTTAGCCAACCTTTTAATTAGATTGGCCCAAGAATCATTACAGATGTCCAACAAGAGAGCCATTTACATCCATCTAAAAATAGAGCTTGGCCATTAGTTTACATAAATTAGCCAAACAGCGAAGATTATTATTCTGTCCGTCTTAAAATGTGAACTTTACATCCTTTGCAAACTATTTCAGTTTAAATCAATTGTTTTGTTGAAGTAATCATTGGTATACATACTAACTCAGATGGAGGGAGGGGTGGGCGTTGCAATAAAATTTGTATAGATATTAGGGTTTACAAATCTATCTTGTCTTACATTCCGTCACTGAAGCAAGGTATCACATATTGCTCTGTTGTTCTCAGTTTGGGGGTCTCTAAACTGCAATGTTTCTTCATATGATTCATTAACAATTATTTTGAATTACACACTAGTAGGCATGTTCTGGTAATTGGAACTACATTGGAGTCCTGTAGCTCAGTGGTTAGAGCACTCACTTTGCAAGTGAGAGACCTAAGTTCAATTCCAGGCCGGGCGAAACCTTGGGCAAGTTTCCTTACTCCACACGCCTAATAATAATCCCTCCAAAAAAAACAAAACAATAATAAATGGGTCATTTTCAATCCACGACTGTTTGTGGGACATTGCTGTGCGCAATTGGCTGCCGCGTTCGCCCACAAATATACAGTCAATTCACTTACAGTATATTCTGTGAAGCACTTTGGGACGTCCTCCCGACGTGAAAAGCGCTATATCAAATGCAAGGATTATTATTATTATTGCATTAATCTGCAAGAACTCCTGATATTGACCAATTCAGAGGGGAAGGTTCAGCTGGAATTTTTTGTAATAATAATCCGTATATTTGACCTTTCACTTGGGAGGACATCTCAAAGCACTTCACGGGATATATTGCAAATCTTATAGCCGTATGTATTTGTGGGTGAATGTGGCAGCCAATTTTACTAATCCCACTATCCCACTAACTGAATTTAAGAATTTTCCACATTTATTGACAAAATTGGTCTTAAAGACAAATACTATATGAAATTTCAGGCCTAAGGAAAGATCAGTTAGAAAGTCAAGGTTAAAGAGGGACATCTGACAAATAATTTTTGACAAAGAGCAGACAGTTACCAGTGAAGTGTATAGTCTAAATGGGTTTATAGTGCAACTAGATGTGTTTCTGTAGAGCAAAGGAATTGAAGGATGTGGTGGCTAGGTAGATAGTCAGATTGAGAAAGAAAGCAATTTGTTGGGAGTCTTAGCCATTTCCTTCTGCTAAAATGTCGCAGATTCATTCAGATCCCTACAGATTATAGAATTACTTTTTGCCTAATCCGTAACCATTTGGGGCGAAATTAACAATTCCAGGCTGCACTCTGATTAAACCTGTCTGCAGCTTTTATTCTGTGCCAAAAATATGACTCAGAAATCCAAAGCCGTTTTTTGCAAAGAATGGCAGTGTCACAAACTCCAAAGGGAAAATCCAGAGGAAGAGTCAACACCTTTTCCATCAGCAGGAAATCACCAACTCCTCACTCGACACCAAGGGATTTCATTCACTCATGCAATGTTGTTACTGTTGCTTCAGAGAGAAATGAAAACAAGGGCCCATTCATAACTTTCCAAAGGCCATGTGTGAACATGTTGCATTTCTATAGAAAAGGCTTGATGAAAAATGTGCACCGGATTACCAAGTGCATAAATCCTTTGAATTCACTGAAAATGGAGAGTGTTTGAACAGTTGGATGGTTATGAGATTATGTACTTCCCTGGAGTTGATGCAACATTTTACTGGTGGTGTTTAAAAGGGAAAAGGATTGGTACTTTGGAATTAAAAGCTAATATGTAGAAAAGGCAGAGAAATCCCACTAAAATAACGGCTTTTAAATACCCCCAATAATATTTTGCATCAACTCGAGCTGGAACAAGGAAATATATATTCTCACAATCTTCCATCCATTCAAGCAATTTCCATTTTACATTCAATTCAAAGTATTTTTGCGTTTGGTAATCTGTTAAACATATAACCAAGATCCCTTCTGACTGTCGAGTTGGGAGTTAAAAATCACATGGCCATATTCAA